TTGTTTTCTAGTATATTTATTATTTATTTTTTATATTCCTTCATTATTTTCCCCAATTTTCTAGTTTTATTGAAATATATTCCGTAGCCATTTTATTAATTTTGTGCCTATAAAATGGATTTCTAAATTTGTGATGATATTTATTGAATTAATATTGTTTTGGGTGTTTCTAAAAGTGCATTTTTCAATTTATCTTTAAGAGTCAATAACTCACCATTTATTTTCTCATCTCATTTTGTCATCTCTTACATACAATATTTTAATAGTTTCCATTAGGTGTTACAACCACCTGTGACAAGGAAACTTTTCCATATCACTATAATATAAAAATATATTTCTCGAATAAATAGGGAAAGGAAGCAGTAGAGAGGGCTATCAGAGAGATCATGGAGTTAGGTTATAGATGATTAGGGTTTTTTACATGATTTTTATGTTAATATGTGAAAATATTTCCCCAATATATTACCCTACGCCCTCCTATTCATGTTGACTGCTGCTAAAACATGATGCGAATTCGGTTGTGGTGATCATTTGTTTAGCAAATTCCAATTAATCACTTCCCTTTCTCCTGGCGAGCGAGCTAGCTGCTGGATCTTCCTTCGATCTACGAAGTAAGTCTTCTCTCTAAATCTTTGTCGATCCATTTTGATATTTATGGTCGTCGATTTGAATTTTGCCGATAACATATAATATCTTCTAATATCTTCCCTTTCACTAATTGATTAATTACCTAGCTAGGGTTCTTCCATGCATCAAAGAGTACTTCCGTTGATTATCTAGTCTCTGATCCCTATATACGTATGTTCCTTGATTTAAGATTATCAACTTGTATTCGTGAACCCTAGCTAGAAGGAGTTATTTAGCCGGCTGCAACCACTCTCTCCATTCGATTGGGAAAATCAATAATTTTTGTATAGCTAACCCTAGGTGCAATTAATTATTTTAGCTATCGTGCCGCAGAGAAACCCTAGCTCCAAGCACCGGGCGCCATCCATGGATTACACCCAACTACCGGACGACATAGTAGTGAAGATAGCAAACCACCACTTGCACACCTTTTCCCAGCTCCTCGCCTTCTCCCACATCTGCAGATCATGGAGATCCGCCGCTCTCAGCCGCCCCGACGCCCTATTATGCCTTCCCGGCCTCCTCTTCCCAACCACAAAACCACCCGCCGCCGCCTCCTCTCGCGATTGGAAGGCGCCACATCCACATGAGTTCCTTCCACTCACAGTTCTAAACCATCGTAATGATCAACAACAAAGCGAAAGAACACTCCCCCAAGTCACGCTCCCTCACTTCTTGACATCTAGATCGTTACACATCAGCCGCTCCGACGCGGCCTCCATCCAGAAAGAACACTACGTGGCGTCCAAAGACGGGTGGCTCCTCATCGTCCCCGCCCCCACCTTTCCGATTGTAATTTACCTCCTTAACCCACTCACCGAATCCTCCCTCCACCTCCCTCCTCTCCCTCTCACAGCCCGACGTCACAACATCCGCAAAGCCATCATCTCGTCCTCCCCTGACCGCGACGACGACGAAGACTGCCACGTCTTCCTTCTCCTCGACTCCACGCCCCGATTGGCGTGGTGCAACGTGGCCAAGGGCGGCTGCTGGAAATTCACATCCCGTCACGACGATGAGCTCAATTTCGACCTCTCCAAGGACGTCGGCATGGCCTACTTGGGAGGGAAGCTCCACGTGGCGGATCGCGAGCATGTGTACGTGGTGGATGGATTGCTTACGTGTGCCACCCCGACCGTGAGAGTGTTCCCGATTTTTTCGGTCGCGAAGAGCATTTTTTCTCGTCCTAGTGTACGTAGTTACGACGAGGACTACTGCTCTTACCACCTGGCCAACCTCCGAGACGAACTCCTCGTCATCCTGCACCATGTCGTCATCCTGCACCATCTCGCTGATGAATACTGGTTTGTTAAACCGGAATCGAAGCACGAATTCGAGGTGTACAAGCTTGTATTGGGAGGAGGCGAGAAGAAGAATAACAACAATAATTACTGGGCAAAAGTGACGGAGTTGGATGGGTACGCTGTGTTTGTGGGATCCCACCAGTCGTTTTGTCTTCCCGCTGACCCGCTACTCAATAACGGGGTTAAGGGCAACTGCATCTACTTCGTCTTTGGAAGAGGAGAGTATGTTTTCGATGATTGTGGCGTTTTCAATCTCGAGGATCGGACGGTTGAAAGGTTTGCTGCTTCGGATGGTGATAATAATGTGAGCGCCCCGCGTACTTTCTGGTTCCTCCCCATGCCCTGGTAATCATGTAATTTTACGTATTATGTTCTGATTAATTTTAATTGTTGGTTTTGTTTCCTTACTCATTTCCCCGTTGACTTGGGATGTAGGAATATTCATGAGCATAAAGAAGGTCAAGAAAGGATGTTTCGACGAAGGCAGACAGAGCCGGGCGTTGGCATAGCAAAGTCAAACACCAATTACAGAAAACGTGATCATCAACGTGAAGGTACTAATAACAAGGTTAGTACTGGACGACTAGCCAACAAATTCCAAGCTTTATTGATCGATGACGAGGAGGAGGAGGATGAGGAGGATGAAGATGAAAGATGATTATGGCGATTATATGGATCAGGCTTTTAATTTTGTCTTTCTTTTCCAAATTCCTTGCATTCATTTCAAAATTCGATTTGATTTAATTTGTGATAAATCGTTCACGTACACTTTTGTATTTGATGTGAATCGAATCAACTGGAAAAAAATATACATATATGGTCAAGGGTTGCTGATCGTTTTCCCCTCAGAATGTCTGTATGAAGGAATATAATATAGGCTGAGAAATGTATCATTCTGACAGGTAAGCATATATATACCTGGTTCTTGAACCTGGAATAAAGTGTTTAATGCCAGGGTTCATGTTGCTTGTCATATGCAGAGGGCTGATGTGGCAAGGCGAGGTTATGCATAAGTATTCACTGAAGAAGTTCTGGTGGTCATGTGTCCTCTCTGCTTATCCCTCCTTGAGTCTCGTGGCCATTTATATTTCAAATGTGATTTTATGCAGCAGGTTTTGAACATGGTTTTAAATTTTATTAATCACGGAATACAATATCATAACAAAACCATCCAAATTAATACAAAGACCAAATTAATCAAACTAAAGTTTAATCAATTTGGTTAATTGGTTAACTGGATTAACCAATATAACATCTTATTATCATTAAGTGACAAAAAAAATTTGGTTAATGCATCAATTTGCTATTTATATAATGAATAAAACATATCAATCAACACATAGTTATAGTTAACCCGTAACATAAATACATGCAACTAATACAATTATCTTATTGTCAATAGAAGTATTCACTTAATAAAAATATAGGTCAACGGTAAGAGGTTAATGAAGTATTGTGTTTGTGTGAATTGACTTAGTCTCTTAGCGATTATCATAGGCTGAAAAGGACATTCCTTTCAAGTTTTCATCAACATAATGTATAATTTTAATCTAAACTAGGCGTCCATATGTTGTGATCTACACTACAAATATACAGTATATGAACAATATTGAGCTTTAGTTTTTATGAGCCTAAAAGGGAGGAACGTTTGACTCTTGAGTGGTTATGCAAATTATTTAGTATGTATACATAATATATTATATATGTGGTTAATTACTTAATTGTTTAATTTAGTTTGACTGGTTAGGAGTGTTTAAAACCAAACCAAACCACATAAACCAAACAAGCTAAAATATTTATTTAAACCAAACCAATTATCCAAACTAACTAAACCAAATTACTCAAATATTACTGGTTAAAACGGTTATCACGTTAACCACACCGTTTGAACACCCCTTCTTGTAACTATAAACCTGAGAATGGTTTGTATGAGGGTATGATTGATGGCGCCTGATAGCTTTAAGCCTGCAAGATGGGTCTCGACTAGTATGGAATATGGTTGCTAGCGAGATTAGGAGGGAACGCTGTAGGAGATTGTATGGAAACAAAGCTCTCTCTATGGCTGGTTTGGGGCATGAATGCAGCAGATATTGGAATGGAAAATCATGGGTGATGCTAAGTTGAATTAGTAATGGCAACGGGGCGGGCGGATATCTCAACACTCATGTCCCGTTTCATACTATTGTAGGTCAGAGCGAGTAAAATTTGCTCGGATATTAGGCGGGACGGGTCAACTCAATTTTACATGTTATTTGAAAAAAATACATGCAAAGTTTACTTTTTTAAGATAAAACAAAGGAGAAAACACTTTATGAATGAAAAATAGTAATAATAAAATGGGTATTTGAGTCTAACAAGTTAAAATAAGAGAAATATGTATATATATCAAAGAAATTGAGGTAAAATAGGCCAAAAACGTCATGTCCCGCCCACGCTACTACGAGTCGAGTAATATCCGCCCAATCACGGGTCAGGTCGGATAATACTCGCGAGGCGGGTTCAAATTGCCATTACTGAGTAGAATGTCTATTAGAATGAAGAAACTCTTGGTTCCGGGATTAGTTCCCCTTATAGTTTAAAGATCTATGTATGGCCTCTATGGTTTCACCCTTGTAGTTAGCATAAGTACTGTTAGTGTGTTTTGTACTTCTGGTTTGGTTTTGCTCTTTGGTTAGAACTTTAATGAAAAGAAATCTTGCTTTTCATAAAAGAATGGTTATACCCAAAAATTGGCAAACTTTTGAAATTGTGATAAATAATTGATGATTCAAGGTAAATAAAAAAGTATTATATCTATTCCACATCACAGCTATTTCAATCTTCATTTTGAGTTAAAACGCTCTGATGGAAAACGCTCTGATCATGGTGACTCCGTCAGCGAAAACTATTCCGCCGGCGGGCAAGCTGCCAGACCCACCGCTGCCCCTGCAACCTCAAGGAACCTCTCAGCCTTCTCAACCCAGCCCAGAAACCGCCACCGCCACCATCTCTTACAGGAATGCTCTGACAGGCCAGTCTCCCCAGCAACCGTCGAAGGGGAGCAAATGGACCTTCATCGGCGAACATGACATGATTCCAGGGGCCTTTAATGGGGAACCGACGCTAAATCTATCGGAAACTTTCAAAGAAAGATTGTGCCAACCTTGGAAGAAGACCTTGGTGGTGCGATTATTGGGAAGATCAGTCTCTTATGCTTACCTCTGTTCTCAACTCCGTTGGAAGTGGCGGCCGTCGGGAGCTCTGGACATCATAGACCTAAATAATGAAACTTTTCTTGTCACTTGCAGCAATGATCAAGATTATCTAACAGCGCTTTCGGGAGGACCTTGGGTGATCCTCGATCACTACCTCCTGGTGCATCCATGGTCACCGGACTTCCGTGTCTCCGACAAGCCACACAGATCAGTGGTAGCCTGGGTGCAATTTCCAGAACTTCCAGTTCATTTCTACCACCGTGAAGTTCTTTTTGCGATTGGCAACCTAATTGGAAGGACGATTAAGCTCGACTACCATACAGAAATCTTTAAAGGGGAAAATTTGCTCGCATGGCAATTGATCTCGATATGACAAAGCCTCTTCAGACGAGAATTCATCTTGATGGCAAATGGCAAGGAGTCATTTATGAGAATCTCCCCCATATCTGCTATGGATGTGGAAAAATTGGACATATCGAAGAAAAGTGCCCTGCCAATGAAAATCATATGGAGACGGCTTTAGCCATCGTTCCCGGCAACGATAGCAACTCGCATCAAGATCTTCCACCGTCGGATGTCCCTGCCGGCTACGGCCCGTGGATGCAGGTCACGCGAAAAACGCGGAAGGCGACAAAAGAAAAATTGGGTAACCCCCAGATCAATTCCTCCTCGACTGGCGCAGATTTCGGGCGATCAGCTCCAAAATCATCTTCTTAGGGAAAGTCTGATCTGGAGATGAAAGGGGAAAAGGAAAGTAAAGAGGGACAGAGAAAGGAAGCTTCCATCTTACAGAAAGGGAAATCAACCTTGATTGATGCCTCCGTCCCTAATAGAAAAAAGAAAGGAGCGGCTACTCAAGAGTGGAGGGTGGTTGGTTCGTCAGCAATGGATCCTAACCTAGCCCAACCCATGGAGGCTCTTTCGACAGACAAGGCCCAAACCACTGCTTCCGCCTCTACTTTGATTTCGGCCAAGGCCCTCCAAGGCCCGAACAACACTAAGATCCAGATCATCTCAGTTCCCTCCCTCGTTGACAACACCAAGGAAAATCAAAACCCAAATTCATTTGGAAGACCATCACGCCAACGGTCACAAAAGAAGCAACCAGCAAAAGCTCTGAACACTATCCAGAACAGGGGAATCAACATCAAATCCCCCAAGAAACCTCTCCAATTAAGCTCGATCTCCAGAGATAATTTCAAGAGAGCTAAAGATCGAGTCTTCCCCTTTACCATCAAAGACATTGAAGAATTCTGTGCCCACTCGAATCTCAAAATATCTGAATTCCAGAAGCTGGTTGCGGAAAGGTCAAGTGAGGTATCCATGGAGGAAGATCTTTACGCAACCCAGTCGGAGACGCCCGCTGACGCCGTCGATACGGAGGGAACTCTGGCCACTTTTAACCAAGGGGGCTCGGCAGCCATGCTCAAGAACCTTGCTTGATATCCTGAACACTTCGACTTCGTCTTTTTCTTTACTTTAGTTACTTTTTTCCTATATTTTCCCATGTCTAGTTCTACTAACCTAAAAGTTCTTGCTTGGAATGTTTGTGGTGCAGGAAGTAGGGAGTTTAGAAGAGCGGTTAAACTTCTAGTTCAGACTTACAACCCTCAATTCCTCTTCCTCTTTGAGCCTCAAATCAGTGGTGAAAGAGCTAATCGCGTTTGCAGCAGCTTGGGTTTCGAAGATGTCATTAGAATCGATGCTGTAGGAAGGAAAGGAGCTATCTGGTTAGCTTGGAAGGCGGATGATTTTGATGTGCAACTCGTTGATGCTAGCCAATAACATTTAACTGTCAAATGCAGTAGCTTTACCTCGGATGATTTCTTGCTAACTGGAGTTTATGGCAGCCCTCTTTACAGCTATCATAAGCAACTCTGGGACCAGCTTATTCACACTAGCAGATCGGTTAACATGCCTTGGCTCATCACTGGGGATTTCAATGCCTCTCGCCTCCCTTCGGAAAAATCTGGATCAATCTCTCCCGCTGCTCTTAGACGCTGCCAAAAATTTGCTGACTAGATTGATCTAGCTAATCTTTTCGATTTGGGGTTTTCAGGTCCTTGTTTCACCTGGTACAGAGGAAGCTCCCGGCTCACTCGCAAAGCTAGCCGCATTGATAGATCTTTGTGCAATTCTCATTGGAACACTGCCTTTCCTATGACTGTTGTTCAACACCTTCCTAAGCTGCACTCAGATCATCTCCTAGTCTTGACTTCTAGTGCTGGATCTAATCCTGTTTCTTCGGCTACTAAGCCTTTCAGATTTGAGGCGGCGTGGTTATTACACGATCGATTTTGTGATTTCTTTGCAGGTAATTGGAGTGAAGACACCAACTTGCAGCAAGCTTTGCAAGCTATGACAACTAAGCTCCAAGTTTGAAGTAAGGAGACCTTCGGCGACATCAACCGCCGCAAGAAGAGAATCCTTGCTCGCCTTCAGGGGATCCAATCTAAGCTTGCTACCAATTTCAGCGCGGGTCTTCTAAAGGTCCAGACCAAATTAGAGGCTGAACTCGACTCTATCCTTGCTCAAGAGGAGGTTATTTGGTTTCAAAGAGCTAAGGAAAAATGGGTCACTCTTGGAGAGCTGAACACTGCCTACTTTCATCAGCAAGCTACCAGGAGGCGCCGTCGTAAGAAAATCATGACCTTGAAAGACGAGAATGGAAATTGGGTTGATGATCCTGGAAAACTGGAGGAGTTGGTGCTCAATTTTTATATCGCTCTTTACACCCAGGATAACTCCCCTTACTTAGACAGAATGCCCAAGAGCTGCTTTCCGCGAATTAATCAAGGATATCTTCTTCAACTTCTTCGCCCATTTACTATTGTTGACTTTCACAAATCAATTTTTGAGATGAAACCCTTCTCAGCACCTGGCCCTGATGGATATCAAGCGGTTTTCTATAAAAAAAATTGTGGAAATATGTGGGGAAGAACACGGCTAATCTTGCTATTTCTTTTTTTTGAAACAGGTCATCTTCCGGCCGAAACCTTTGAGTCCAACATTGTTCTCATCCCTAAATCTGAGCATCCAGAAACTCCGGCTAAGCTTAGGCCTATTTGCCTGAACAATGCCAGCCTCAAAGCGATCACAAAAGCCATGACCAACAGATTGAAACCGATTATGCCTCAACTCATTGCTCCTGCCCAAAGCGGTTTCATCCCGAAAAGGCAGACTGTTGACAACATTATTATTCTCCAGGAAGTCCTTCACTCCCTGCGTTCTAGGAAAGGGAAAAAAGGAGGGATAGTGATAAAAGTTGATCTTGAAAAGGCCTACGATAGGTTGAGATGGGACTTCATCAGAGATACCTTGATTGAAGTGGGCCTTCCAAGTACCTGGATAAGCAGGATCATGACTTGTGTGGAAGAGAACAAGATGAAGATCAATTGGAACGGCAAACTTACGGATCCTATCTCACCGTCGAGAGGAGTTCGACAGGGAGACCCCCTGTCTCCGTATCTTTTCGTGCTCTGTATGGAACGCCTAGCTCACAGAATCGAGATGGCAGTGGCGGATGGACAATGGAAACCGCTCTCTATTATTTCTCATGGCCTCAAACTGTCTCATCTCTTTTTTGCTGACGATCTCATCCTTTTTGCAGAAGCTGGGAGCAAACAGGTTGACATCATAAAGCAATGTTTGGAGGACTTTTGTTCCAGTTCGGGGCAGAGAGTCAATTTGAACAAGTCAGTTCTTTTTGTTTCATCCAACATTAGAAGAGACAAGGCCCAGAAACTCAGCAATAGAGCAAACATTCCTCTTACCATGGATCTGGGACGATACCTGGGCCTCAATGCTATTCATGGCAGAGTAACCAAAGCTCGTTATAAGGAGTTGATTCTCCGTATCCAAAAGAAGCTTTCGACCTGGAAATCTAACTGCCTCTCCCTGGCCTCTCGGATCACTATGGTGAGATATGTTGCCTCCTCTATGGCTGTTTACCCTATGTTTTCAGAACTTCTACCGGTTTCTGTTTGCAATGATTTGGACAGGATCAACAGACGTTTCATTTGGGGGGAAGAGGATGGAAAAACTAAATTTCACTCGGTGGCTTGGGAGCAAATGACGATCCCCAAAGCTGAAGGAGGTGTTGGAATTCGCCCTACAAGATTAGTTAATCAAGCAATGCTAGCTAAAGGTGGCTGGAAACTTGTTAATAGAGAAGACTCTCTATGGACAAAAACTCTTTTGGACAAATATGGAGGAAACAGAGAGGGGATCAATATTGTACAACAAAAAAGGGAAGTTCTCTCGCCTGGAGAAGCTTTGTCTCTACAGCTAATCTGCTTAAGAAAGATCTGGCCATTAATGTTAAAAGTGGCAGAAACACTCATTTTTTGCTTGATCCTTGGATTTTGCAGGCACCTCTTATTGATTTTGCTATCGATGAAATTCCCGAAGAGTGGAAACAAAGGACGGTTGCTGACATGTGGGATGCAGAGGGAGGCTGGAAGACGGAGGATTTTATTCACCTGTTGCCTAGCCACATCACGGACAAAATCAGAGCAGCCCTCGTTGATCCTCTGGTCACAGAAGAAGACAGCAGGATTTGGAGTCTCACTGCTAATGGTCTCTTTTCAGCAAAGTCTGCCTACAAAGCTATTCATCCTCATCAGGAACTTCAACCAAACCGGGTTTGGAAGCGAGTCTGGAATCTCCAAGTTTCTGAGCGCTTGAGAGTTTTTGTATGGATGGCAGTTCACGGAAAAATTACCACTAACAGCCTGCGGAAACACAGACATCTAACGCAAGATGATTCCTGCCCGGATTGTTCTGGTGTTTCGGAAACCCCGCTCCACTGTCTCCGTGACTGCCGAAGAGCAAAAGCTGTTTGGGATGGATTTTTGGATCAGCAAAGGCAAGCTACTTTCTTTAATTCATCTCATGACACCTGGTTCAATGAGAATTTGATGGATGAATCCCTGGGGAGCTGGCCGGGCAGGTGGAATAGCTTCTTCAGCTTGATGATCTTGTACTTATGGAAATGTAGAAAAGAGGGAATCTTCAAGGGTATCAAGCTTTCTATCCCCTCTTTACGACACTATGTTACTGTGAAAGCGACGGAATGGGCAAAAACTTGGGAGTCAGCCAACAAGACTCTCTCCAACAACAATGCGCATAGCAGGGAAGAAATCCTGATTGGCTGGTCAAAACCTCAGGCTGGCTGGCACAAGCTCAACACCGATGGAGCTGCTCAGGGGAGTTAGGGTATTATATATGCAGGAGGGATCCTTCGTGATCATGATGGAGATTGGGTAGGAGGCTTCGTCAGCAAATTAGGCTCAGGATCAGCGATTTTGGCTGAGTTGTGGGGTATCCTGAAAGGCCTTGAACTCGCCTGGAAGAAAGGTTCACGCTTCCTAGTTCTTGAGTCGGATTCACAACTTGCGCTTCAACTAATTGAGAAAAGTACAGACAACGTGCACCCTCACTCGACGATCTTAGGAGCTATTCAGCGTTATTTAGCTAAAGAATGGGTGGTTCGTCTGGTTCATACGTATCGTGAAGTGAATAGAGCTGCGGACTGGCTCTCGAAACACAGTCTCGTCTATCCCTTTGGCATGTATGAATTGGATGATCCCCCATTGGATCTCAATCGAATCTGCCGTGAAGATATTCTCGGCGTCAGTTTCGCTCGACAAGTGATTCAGAGGGATGCTCTTCGATTTTTTTCTGTGGCCTTTTTCTGGGATCTGTTTCCCTGCCTCTTTGTCGTTGTGCTGCCGTTGTTTTCCGTTTTTTGTTCCTGATTTCCTAGGCCCTGGGCCTTTGTAACCTTGGCTTTCATGCCTCCCTTCCTTCAAAAAAAAATCTATTCCACATCACAATATCATATTTCGCGATGAAACTAACAAAAGGATGTATTTATCCAACATATTAAAAAATTGACTATTTTATGATATTTCAAATAATTTTGATTATTTTTGTCGACTAAATTTGATGATTTTTTGTGTTTACCCTAATAAAAATTTTCCTACATTCCAAACGGTTACTTATCCTACTATGTCCACAACTCAAAACCTTAGTCAAAATCTCCTATATAGTTAAAGACAAACTTCTAACCGGATCATCTAGGCGCATTAATGGATGAATAAAGTAAACTTTCTCTTTTGTACAATTGACGGAAACAAAGTGATAATAGTTGACTAAACTTAGAATAAAGAACAGAAACAGTTGCTTAGTGCTTACACAGCCGCACTTTCCTCTGCTTCTGCCTTTCCCCCTCCAATGGAATTTGACCGTCCGCATGCACCAGCTACTTCCCCGCCCTTGCCTTACGTTTCGGTTCATCCTCCACTTTCTGTCCATTCTAAGCTAACTACCTCCCTTCCCCACCTCCCCTTTTCAAACGCTCACATGCAAAGAAAGGTCTGCTTAAGCTCATTCCTCTTGTGTCTACCAATTCTTCCAAAACCGATCCTCTTTCTCTCTGTCGTTCTTGGGTTGTTTTGGGTTATTGATTTCGACTGCTCTGTTCAACGAGTTTGGCAATCATGGTGAAAAAGGTATGAACTTTCCTCACCAAGACAGAGTTGCATTCTTCTGGGTTTCCAATTCTTTCTCTGTCTGTGTATTGGTTCTTTCGAATTTTGGCCAAAGATCTGATCTTTTCCCCGCTGTTCTCATCAATTCCCCTGTTTTCCCCCTGCAGAAATCTTCTAAATTTGAACCACAGAAGCACAATTCATGTCTTCGCCGTGGGTTCCCTTTAGTACTTTTGCTATCTGTTGCATTCTTCATCGGAAGTGGATTCATAGTCACAGATTATAAACAGGTACTACAACACCAGACTCTGCTATCAGTAATGGTAATCTTCTGGAAACCCCCAATCACAACTATAGAGCTCGTACTTTTGATTCATTCATCAGTGTAACACTTGTTCTATATAAATCAATGGATTGTTTTGCTTCTGCAGAAGCTAGTAGGAAGTTGGGGGCATCCTATTGATGTCCAAAGATCTGCGGTTTGTGAGGTTTGTTTATATACACCATTACTGTTACTAAGTGCAGGCTTCAAATTCCAGTAGCCTCTTTAAGTTTGTATAATGTGTGATGTAGAATGGAGAGAAGCCATATGGAACCAATACATTACCTAAAGGGATCATTTCTGCAACTTCTGACTTTCAAATGAGATCGCTATGGGGTGACGATGACAAGAAGGCAAAGAGATCCAAGAGCTTACTAGCAATGGCAGTTGGGATAAAGCAAAAACTGAATGTCGATAAGATTGTCCGAAAGGTGAAAGTGAATGGGAAGTGTTTTCTTTATGTGATGCTCTAGGAAGTACTAGTAGAATCTTTGTTTTGATTCTTCTTATCATGTTGTAGTTCCCACCTGCTGACTTCGTCGTGATGCTGTTCCATTACGACGGAAATGTGGATGAATGGAAAGGATTGGACTGGAGCAACCAAGCAATACATGTTTCTGCTAACAACCAAACGAAATGGTTTAGTAATTTTTCGTTACAGCAAGTCCTGTACCTTTGTAAGGATCGGAAGAGTTAAAAAAGTATTTCTGCTTGAATTTATGTTTGTTAAACAATGCCTCACAGGTGGTTTGCTAAACGTTTCTTGCATCCTGATATCATTTCGGAGTATGAATACATCTTCTTGTGGGATGAAGATCTTGGAGTTGACAATTTCCATCCTGGAAGGTATCCATCTCATTCTTACCTACTGTTTTTATATTCTTCCCATAAATGTCATTTTTCACTGCAATGGTTTGAACTTCAGATATCTGTCAATTGTAAAAGCGGAAGAACTTGAGGTCTCGCAGCCAGCACTGGATCCCGAGAAGTCAGAGGTGCATCATGAAATAACTGAGCGAAACCCGACAGGAAGATTTCACAGGTTTCCCTTTCAAAATCTTGAAGAGATTTTACAAAATGTAGCTGAGATTTCAAACTCTGCACTTTCTTGTTTATGGTAAAATCCTGATCCTTATGGCTATGGTGTCTTGACAGAAGGACATACAAGAAGATAGGACCCAGACAGTGCACTGACAACAGCACAGCTCCTCCATGCACAGGGTAGAACTAGAAACAAACTGTGTCTTGTCGGTTCTAAAGTCTTGCTTCCTTAAGATATATCTGACTGAAGAGAAAAGTGATTGTTTCATTCAAGGTTTATAGAAATGATGGCTCCTGTTTTCTCGAAGGCGTCATGGCGATGTGCATGGCATATGTTTCAGGTAACTAAGCACCATCCACAGAACATTTCGCTACTTGTGTGACAAGTTTCAAACCTCATTGTCTTTCTCTTGATCAGAATGACTTGGTACACGGATGGGGGGTCGATTTTCAGCTCGGGTACTGTGCACAGGGTGACCGGACCAAAAACATTGGTGTTGTTGATTCAGAGTACATTGTGCATGAGGGTCTTCCTACTCTCGGTGGTTCTGCCTCGGACAAGGTTTGGAAGAAAACATTTTCATTGTGTGTCTTCCTGACAAGATACATACTGACGGCTTTCTGATATCTCAATCTTTTTGGCTGTGATTACTCAGGTGTTGCTGCCATTGAGTGCCAACCAAGTATCAGGCAGATCAGCTGTAAGCTTTTGCATCTGTTCCTACTGGCAATTTCAAAACCATTTCTTTTCTTTCTAATACGAGTGAGAATTCTAGCTAGGTTGATTAATTTATTCTTGCAAATGTGGTTTCTTCTAGGTGAAAAATCGGTCATACGTTGAGCTGGAGTTGTTCAAGAACAGATGGAAGAATGCTGTGAAGAAAGATTCGTGTTGGGTTGATCCCTATCCACAATGAACCAAGCAGATCGATAAGGGCCAGATGCAGTGTGCAGCTATTTCCATGGTCTTTTAGTGAAGCTTGGAAAGGATTAGCAGTCAAACACCACTGAAAGATCTACAGTGGCAGGGGAAACCTTGGACACCTTTTTGCAACGATCTCACCATCTCTCTCTCATTGTATTATTATTTACTTGTATCCCATGTTATAATTCGTATCTTAATCTGTACACAACCATGTGCTTGTAAGAGCTACATAATATATGGATAAAGTAATTTATTGGCTATCCTCGCCTGAGAGGTATTTTCAGTAATAGGGAGAAGTGTTTTGAGTAGAGCTATCCTGATTACCTGAGATAAATTTTCACCCAGCGAGAAGTTGCAGAATATGGACAATGTTGATTGAAGCCTTGCATTAGCTTGGGGTAAGCCGTAAGAATCATGCACAAGTAGTTTTAGTTATTCAGCATCCATAATTAGAAGCAAAAATGACAGACCTTGAGAAGCCAGAGAAGTTCAGATACATACAGGAGAATTGAGAAGTATCAAGCTACTAAGCTTATCTTGGTGACTTCTTGCATATTTCCCAGGAACAGGAGCAGAATATCCCTGTACAGCAAGTCAGATCTTACTGCGCGATTTCATCTATTAAGTACTCCAACGAAGATGCATATTCTGCAGATAACAGAACCCCAAAAAAATACCCAGCACACAAAGAAAATCCAACCCATTAGACTGATTCCAGTCAACCATCAGACTGATTCCAGCTCTTCAGAAACAAAACATCAGAATGATTCCAGTTCGCCCCCAAGGAAGGATAGAAATGTTCAGACAGCAGAAATGTCTAGGAAGCTATGTTCACAAGTCTGTTTCAGCATTCATAGATACACAATTACAGAGCAATGTAAAATGGTGGCAAATCGGAATTACACATTTCATCTTCTGGCTGTTTGAAATTCACCCCATCCGCCCACCACTCTACTTGACGTAGTAAGGAAGGTTAAGAACATAGAGAAGGAAATAAGCCCAGGTCACCCCTGAAACCCCACCGAAGAAGAACCCTCCGGTGAACTTCGCCCACCCGTCGGCGGTCTGCAGCTGGTCAGGCTGCTTCTTCCTCCCGGTCAGCGTCAGGCTCGGGGCGGTCGACGGCTCCCCTTCGTTGAAGGAGGCGACTCCGTACATGGTCAGGCAGAGGCTGAGGATCACCACCAGCCCGGCGGCGGCCAAGGAACCCGCTGCCCCGGCGTACTCCGTGTTCCTGAGCGGCCCGGCCTTCACGAACGGGCCCACGAGGAGAAACCCATGGGCCAGGCCCACTTCGATCCCCCTCAGGAGTGGGCTCACCGCGGTCCGGTACGCGGGGAGGTTGGAGAGGTACCAGGCGATCAGTGGGCTGGACGTCACCGGAGTCTCCAGGCTGCCGATGAACGGGTCGCCGTTGATCGGCTGCACCACTTGGTACGTCGGCTGCAAAGACAGAGGACCCATTTGAAAGCCAATTCATAAGGCGTATTCACATCGCGACCTTAATTTGAAGTATCAATTACCTTGTCGGCCTGAATGGCCTTGACAGTGAAGGAAGAAGATCGCCGGGAGGTGGGCGAAACTCTGAAGGAAGCGCCGGAAATGCCATTGGGGACGGTCAGACCTCTCCTCGCGGAAGAAGTGAAGCTGGATCTGAGCTGGCTAGCCATTGGAGATGCTGTGGCAGCCATAGTTAGCTAGCTAGCGTTTGCTCTCTTTCTATTCCCAGTAATTTACAAAAGAGAGAGAGATGGAAGAGGCCACTGGCAAAGATTTGCGGTTCTGGTTTATTTGTGTGAGTATATCTCAGGGAAGAGAATCTGTTGGATGAAAACTTGTGGTTTGGAGAAGGATGGGGGTGTGATAGTTGGAGGAATTTGATTGGCTGGATGGACAACCTTTGGAATCTTATCCAGTTTAACCTATCCCTACTCACATCTGTTTTTTTTATGAATTGATCCCTCAAATTCTGCTCCATTTCCATTTCCGCCTCAAATAGCACAATGCACATACATGTGCGATCTCGAGGATTGGCCATGTTGTTTTGGTATATTCACGTTTCGTAACTCTACTTCGTTTCATATGAGGAAATGGCATGTAGGATATGAACATGGCACAAAATCAAGTTGTGTACTTTTGACTGTTTTGGCATTCAAAGATTCTTCGCTATCAACTTGAATATGTATTTTATCCATTACGAATAATATGTATTTATCCATTACAAATCATCTTCAAAAGTAGTTGTTGATTCGTTGAAATTAGAGGTGCATCCTCTTCTAAATAGCAGAATAATCTAACTCGTCGCACTAAGAAGGGTTCGAGTATAAGAGAAAAGGTGATGACGATGAAGATCCAACAGTAAAAGTAAGCCTTAAGAACTACTTAATAGCATTTAGCTCAATCAAGGATCAGGCACTTATACAATTGGAAAACTCCCAACAACATGCATCTCTTAGGAAATGTTCCCAAAAAATGATTCAATCAAATTGTCTTCAGTTACTCGTGATGCTACCCTTGTTTCTTCCCTTTGCTTTTTCCCTTTCCTCTTCTTTCTCTTCTGATGTTTACTCACACTTTTACTGTATCCCCTGCAATTGTAATAAAACCAAACATCATTCTCGTAAGATGCCACACATTCCAGAAGGGATTTTGTGGGCGGAAATTGAAAGCTGAACTTAATTACCAGGGCACAGGGATGAACCAAAAGATGGGATGCCGCGTCCCGTTATCACTGTAACGTTCATCAGCAAACCTCTGGAACTTCTGGTTGGCAACATCAAACACACCATCCCAATTCGCCTCTCCGAATGTTTTCATATCCCAACAAACACGATTCAGCGCGAAGTAGATGTGGTCGCCTCTAATCCCACCGCCATTCCGATTCACAACACCACCACCGCCCTTGATAGTCGGAAAGGAAAACGATTGGTGAGCCCCAATGAACAGGGCATGCCCATCCAGACTCCACACTTCTTCCCAATACTCACCCCTGTCAACATTATGGCCATGAAAGTTCATAACTCTATCGAGCCCGTTCCCCTCATCGACGAGCTTGAACACACGGAATCCCAGGTAGTCCCCGTAGTAATTCCCCTTGCAATCAGGGAGAATCACACGAACCTGGCCGCCGTCGAGGTGACACAAGTAGGGGTGAGTTTTCGACCTCGGCGGACAGCAGTTGAAGGCGTCGAACGATTTCATGTAGCTGGAGAACGGGAACGCCTTCACAATTGGCCCAATCGCGGCGGAGAAGGGTTTGAGGATGTCGTGGACAACCCAGAGGGCATTTTCCCCTGCAAGGTAGAGGTTTCCGTTGGAGTAGGAGGCGTCTTCGGGGACATCGTATTGTATACGAACGAGGCAATTCTTTGGTGGGAACGTCCAGCCGCCGCCGCCTCCGCCTCCTGGCCCGACCTTGCACCAGGCGAGCAAGTTGTTCTGCCAATTGGAAAATGTGAACACGTAGCAGTGTTCGTGGTCAGGGGAATTGGAGATTATGGCTTTGCTGACGTCGGCGTATTCCCGCTTTAAAGGGGGCAGAGGGATGGAGGCGCCGATGAATGGGTTGAGGAGGTAGAGATCGAGCTGGCGGCCGCGGTAGTCGCCGTGGAAAGGGAGGGTGCGGAGGATCCAGCCGTCTTTGGAGGCTAAGGAGTGAGCGTCTGATTTCGCGTCGTAGGGAGAGAATTCGCTGTCGTCTCCGATGACGGGGAAGGAAGTGATGAATTCTTGGTGGAGGCGGAGGTAGCGATCGCGCTGGCCGTGGGCGTCCGACATTTTGGAGGGAGACGGGAAGAGGGGGAGTGCGATTGACGGCGGCGGCGGCGGGCTGGTGGTTGGGATGAGTGTAGGGAGGGAGACGAAATCATGGATTTGGCCTCTCGACGCAGCGGCAGGAGATAGGGGTGCGGCGGCGGCGGCGGTTTCGGGGACGAGCAATACCGGAGGGCAGCGGAGGAGGATGGCGACGGATCTCCATGATTTGCAGACGCCGGAGAAGGAGATGAGCTGGGAGGCTGTGTCCAAGTGCTGGGAAGCAATCTTCTCTACGATCTCCTTCGGTAGTTCTGAGTAATCCATTGATAATGATAGCTAGGGTTTGAGAAGGTTGGGAAAACAAAGTAAAAATAAGATTAGACCTAATGGTAAATCGCTTTTAGCGTCTAATTAACATAAAAAAATGTCACAAAATCACTTTGTACAAAATGGTACCAAACCTTTAATTTGTAATAATGGGACCGGATAGTATAATAACACCCTTGGTGTTGTTGTTATTATAACAACAAAATTCAGTAAAGATGAATAAGTAAATAAATAAAAAATATCAAATTAAAATTAAATAAATAATACCCAATACCTAATCCGCTCGTATGCAATTTCTTTAGTTCCTCTCCAGCCTCATCTCCCGTTATTCCTTCGTTCTTTCACCGCTCGCACCCAGTCCTCCTCTATTTCCTTCTTGTTCGGACGCCGATTAATTCATGGATACGATCGCCGGGGGAGGTCATGTTCGACGTCAGCGGCAACCCTCATCTTCCATGACTGCCATAGCGATCTCGGTAAGTCCTAGCTTTACTACCGCAAGTCGTCAAGAATCGACGGTTGTAAGCCCCTCTCTACCGCCGCCGCCCGATCCTGATCTCGCTTCTCTGGCTCGTCCACCGCTAGGTGGAGGAGCTCGTTGTTGGAGGCGACTTTCTTGAGCAGAGAGAGTCCGACGGAGGGATAATGGCGGAGGAGGGGGCGGGGATGAGCAGCCGGTGGGGAGGAGAAGTTTATTTCAGCACCAGATGCTATAGTCTTGTAAAATAACTGTATTCAAACACAATAACAACAGCAGAAATTATAGGAGAAGTCGAGGAAAGAAGAAGCCTATTAGCTTAGTTCAGTTTCATTATGTCAATGTTGGAATTTTATATTACTTTCATTTCAACTAACCTTAGTATGGAAATGGCTTGAAACTAGAGGTGGCAATTTCAATCCAATCCACCAATCCAATCCATCAATCCATTAAAAATATCCACCTAATCCAATCCATTTAAATCCAATCCATTTGATCTAAATCCAATTGGATTGGTGGATTCATGGATTGGATCCATGGATCATTGACAAATTACGGTTTAGTACCTATAATTTTTATTTTTTACATTTTGGTACCTAAAATTTTATTTTTTATACGAAAAATATCATTGGAAAATTACGTTTTGGTACCTAAAATTTTTCATTGTGACATTTTAGTACCTAAACTTTTTACATTTTACATATTGGTCCTTGGTTGAGGATGTCATTTGGATTCATGGATAATCCACCAATCCACTTGATCCAATCCATGAATCCACCAATCCATTAGATCCAATCCATTTGATCCATGGATCCACCAATCCAATCCACCAATCCAATCCATTTGCCACCTCTACTTGAAACTATGAGTACTTTGATCATAGAATCTGTTTTCCCACTTTTCCCCAGAAGATGAAGAAGCTGATTTAGAAGGATTGGTTGAAATGAAGAAGCAGGGAGATGATCCCCTGCTTTTGAGAGGTCACCATCACCTCTTCGGTGAGGTAGGCGGATAAGCCGCCAAAGCTTTTGCTTAGGGAAGAAGATGACATCGGTGCGGTCAATGTGGAGCTTGATTAGTTAATCAATTCAAAACCTGCATGATTAAGGAGAAATTAGTATGTGTACGATAAAGAGTGATAATGATATGATGATGGTGATTAGGCGAGGAGGTGGATGATTAATAGATTAATTCACGCTTAATTACCTATGGAGGGGAAGCTGGTGAGAGCAAAAACTGACACACGGATAAAGTCTTCGAGTTTTGGGGAAGATAAGGAAGAAGAGTTGGGTGGAGAGTCATGCCTGCAAGGTTAATTTGTTTTCTGGTCCAGTCTCTCTAGTTATTGAGCTAGAATTGTGAGTTAGGAGCATCAATCTTCTTTATTGCTTTACTAAATCAAAATCTCTGAAAGTGTCATCATTTTCTTATGAGTTTCAGTATTCTCAAGTTCACCAGAAAGGACACCAAACATCTCCTATTGCAAACTACAATACTTTTGAAACATACCAGAATCACTATAAAGCATACTAAAAATGTTTCTAAAACCCACCAGAAACCTCCTAATGCAGACCACAAATCTCTTAAAATATACCAGAAGCTCTATAAAGCAAAGAACAAACACAATAAAACAAACCACAAAAAACATACAATAAACCTTCCAATGCATACCACAAATTTCATAAAACAAACCACAAATTATATCATAAGCACACCAGAAACTCTCTAATGCAAACCACAAACACGGTAAAGCAAACAAAAAACGTCCTAATGCAGACCACAAATACATTAAAACAAACCAGAAACCTCGCAAAGCAAACCACTAAAGTTTCGAAAGCACACCAGAAACTTCTTAATGCAAACCAGAAACCTCCGAATGCATACCACAAATCTTCATAAAACAAACCACAAACCTCACAAAGCAAACCACAAAATATATCATAAGCACACCAGAAACCCTCTAATGCAAACCACAAACACGGTAAAGCAAACAAAAAACGTCCTAATGCATACCACAAATATATTAAAACAAACCAGAAACCTCGCAAAGCAAACCACAAAAGTTTCGAAAGTACACCAGAAACTTCTTAATGCAAACCAGAAACCTCTGAATGCATACCACAAATCTCCTTAAACAAACCACAAATCTCACAAAGCACACCAGAAACCTCCTAATGCAAACCACAAACACAGTAAATCAAACCACAAAAAATCAAACCATAACGTCCTAATGCAGACCACAAATATATTAAAACAACCAAGAAACCCCTCAATGCAAACCACAAAATGATGAAAGCAAACCAGAAACTTCTCAATGCAAATCACAAACACGATAAAGCAAACCAGAAACTTCTTAATGCAAACCACAAACACAATAAAGCAAACCACAAAAGGCATACAAAAATATGAGAAATCAAACCATAAATCTCACAATGCAGACCATAACATCCGGTGGTCGTTGGTCGTTGACCGGTCAACAAAGTTCGTTGACCAAACTCCGATGACCGTCAGTGAGTAGATTCCGGCGCCGATAGGCATATTCCGGCCCCGATGACTAGATTCCGACGCCGGTAAGCATATTCCGACCACAATGAGCATATTCCGACGACGGTGAGCATATTTTGATGACAAAATAGCATATTGCGACGACAAAAAGCAGATTCCGGTGATCGCGACCAGATTCCGGATACCAAAATTTTGGGCCGAAAATAAAAAAAAAATTATTTTTTTATTATTTAAACATATTTTCCATAATGACAATTATACCCCTGCTTTGATTTTACACTAGGTCAACTCATCTAATAAAAAGTCATCACAATCCTAACTTTTTATTGTTGGAGACTAGTGTTGTTACAATAACAATACAAGGGGTGTTGTCATAGTAACCGGTCCCTGTAACAATGCATACTAGCTTGTTGTTCGACCCGTTGGTCGGAAGGTTATTGAATACAATGTATGTATGATGTGTATTTAAATTTTTTAAATTATTTTAAATGCTGAATTTCATATGATATTAAGGTGACATCGAAATTATTTTTTCATTTTCGAAATTCTTATAATTTTTCATCAATGATTAACATTGTAAGCTTAATTGTTATAACTAAAGTTGTCAAGCCGTTTAAGTTGTTGAGCCGGTCAAGCAAGTAGTTTGAAGTTTAATGGTGTGATTGAGGTCCAATCTGTTTGAGCCATCTTACACATTTTCTAAATATATTTACATATTAATATAGAAATTTAGTGACTAAAATGGAATTTAATAACTTATATATATTAAAAACTCAAATTTCATAAGAAAACATACTTATTTCAATATCCACCCACCATCCTTTTGCTCTTGCCTCTCTCCCCCTCCCCCTTCCCTCTCTTCTTCTCCCTCTCTAACGATCAGACACTTGATTTTGTAAAGCCGGTTTTGGAACACGACTTTGGTCAGACCTAGTCCAACCAGCCGCCCGATACAGATGTAACAACTTAGTTATAACACTCGTGAATAACCGTTCATAATTTGTCAATTTAATGATGTAGTCACTTTGAAAAGAAAAGTGACGTACGCTAGCCTGAACTATATATACATATATGGTGGCTTCTACGGTACCCGGGTGAAATCCGGGGTATCGTATATCTTGAGTATGAAAATTCTATTTAGACCTCGAATTAACAGGATTTTTGGACCTGATACTATACCCTAATTCTTAATGAGTGAACCCTAGGTCCTAGTTATCTAAATCATAAACTATAAACACTAAGATGGTGCATTCATTTTTTTGCCTATATTTGGGCGAATCATAACCGTCAATTATTGTTTCTAATTAAATTGATCTTGGGGTACAAGATTTAGAGAATTAAGGCCTAGATTGTGATCTTTAAGGGTTAAAGTATAGTATGATGTCCGAAAATTCAATCAATTCAAGGTCTAGATAGCGTTTTCATGCTCAAGGTATGTGGTACCCTGGATTTCACCCTGGGTACCGTAGAACTCCCCATATATATATATGGGTCAGACTGGCATACGTCAGGCGTATACTATACGTCAGGTACTACTAGTGAGATATCTCTATCTAGACCATGAATTAAATCGAGTTTGGGGTATGATACTATACCCTAACCTCTAATGGATAAACCCCAGGCACCCATTTTCTAAACCCTAACCCAAAGTTTGATTAAATGAAAAACAAAAATTGACCGTTGAGATTGGCCGGAGCTCATCTAACTACATTTAACGGCTAGATCACCTGACGTATACTATACGTCTGACGTACACCAGTATTCACCATATATATATATATATATATATATATGGCAAAGGCTAGCGTACGCCCGGACGTACCCTAGCCTACCGTACGCCCGTTGAGTTTTGCTATATATGGGTCACACTCGAATGCGTCAGACACATACTATGCGACAGGATTTCTACACCGCAGATTTAATCTAACGGTGTTTATTAATTGGAATTAAATTATTTAATTTTTATAATTTTTAAATGATTAGTTGGTCCTATTACTTTTTTATGCGTACCCTTTAACCCCTAAAAAAACTTTTCAACATATTTTCGAATTATAGTACCAAATTTTATTCTAATCATGTCTCCAATCCATTAAGTTATATTTACTTACAATTTTAGTTTGGTGATTTATTCCTTTTCCCACTC